ACGAAGCCGAGGTCGTGTGCCGCCAGTTGGAGTGTGGGCAGGCCATGTCTGCCCTCGGGAAGGCCCACTTTGGCCCAGGCTCAGGAGACATCTTCCTGGACAACCTCCAATGTGCCGGGGTGGAGCGTCACCTGGGCCAGTGTGCCCACTCAGGCTGGCTGGAGCACAACTGCGGCCACCATGAAGACGCCAGTGTCATCTGCTCAGGTAACCTCTCTCTCTCAGGTGGGCACTGCCAGCACCAGACTGCTCCCAGACCTCGCCACCGGCCAGCACTCAGAGTCGGTCAGGGAGAAAGACAGGATCCTCAACACTCACCGCATGTGACTTTTGCTCTTCCTCTTCCAACTTGGCTAATTATACAATGTTTTAACTACCAGGCTCCAGAATCACACATTTTGGTCTTCTCACTTGGTGGTGAGCATTAGCAAAGGAAAGTGTGCTTTGCTGGAAGGCACAGCATGTGTGCTGTGGAGATCCTTCCAGGGCTTCTGAAAAGGAACTCAATCAGAGAGGCCACAGGAGGCAGTGGAGCTGGGGAGGCCGAGCTGGCTCTCAGAGCCGGAGTGAACACCCAGACTGTCTTTGGGTGGCCCTGAAACCCTCTGAGCCTCTGTTTCTTCATCTATAAAATTAGTTGCTTTTGAGGGGGCTGAGGTTGTGGCTCAGCGGTAGAGCGCTTGCTTCACACATGTGAGACCCTGGTTCGATCCTCAGCACCACATACAAAAATAAACAAGTGAAATAAAGGTGTTGTGTCCAACTACAACTAAAAAAAATAAATATTTAAAAAAAATAGTTGCTTTCTTGCAGGACTGCCAACAGGCACAGAGATGTCTTTGACAAAGCCCTGGCATAGCGGCTGGCAAAGAGGCTGCACATTTGACCCCTCTTCCTGCCATGTCCCCACTCAATTGTAACAGAGGAAATCTGTGTACTGAAGCAACCGATTTTAGTTTCTTTGTGACAGTTTTTTTTTTTTTTTTTTTGAAAACCCTGTATTTACTCATGTGCGAACCTTTAGTAGGAAGCAAATTAGTCACCTCTGGAGTGACTATTAATAGCCCTCTCTGCAATGGGACAAAATACAGCCATAATCCCTGATGTGACTTGAAAGAATCAGAATCCCAACTCGAATCAGTGCTCGCTCCATGGAGCGGCCCGTGTGGGCAGAAGCTCCACTGAGTGCCCAGCCCACGCCCCATGACTTTTAACCTAAGGCACACATTTAAAAGCATTGTCCTATGTGCTGTTTATTCACCTGTTTGTGGCATCTAACTGTGTGGAGCACCCTCTAACTTAGTTACAGACTTGTGGGCTCCTGTTATCCCCAAATTTCAATGTTCTAGAAGATGAGTATCTCATCTGAGAGGTGCCCCCAGAGACCCTAAAAGTGAAACTCATCTGCTACAAAAGCAACAGCTTGTCAGTTTATCCTAAATGTACCTTTCACACCTGGTCATCTTCCCATAGCACTAGCAAAGCCACACAGAAACTTACATTTGTCTATAGATGAATGTTTCTTCTAATACTATGTTTTTTTACTGGGTCTAACTTTCTCATGTTGCATTAATAAACAGGTAGAAGGATACGATTAAAGCTTCGTCCTCAGTGATTGAAGTCAGGATTCCCCCAAAATGCTGATGTATTTATCTTTCCTGTCTACAGATGCTGCAGAATCTGTGTTGAACAGTCCAGGTGAGTTGTCTTCGGAGCTGCAGAAGTGAAGCCACCTCTTGGTCTTTCTACACGTGCTCGTCCCACTGGCTCCGAGGACCTTCCCCAGCTCTTCCCCTGACTGGCTCCTTCTCACTTTTTAGGAGGTGCCTCCTAGCCACCACCTCTCTGTCACTCTTCCTAGCACCCCATTCTTTCCCCTGATGCCTGTCACAGGGTGGAACAGTGCATGGTGCTGGGGTCTGTGCTTCACTGGTAAACAGACTGTGGGATCCTTGAGGGCAGAAACCCTACCTCAGGTTTATGGCTGCACCACACCACCTCGCAGGGAAGACAGTCAGGAAATACTGTTGAAAAGAAAGGAAATTTAATAGAGACCTCACGGCCTGCAGCTCAGGAACCCATGAGACGTGTGGGGAACAAAGCCCCAGGCTCGAGACTAGGGTGCCCCTCCCAGCCCATCTCTGGGCCTAGTGCTGCTGCTGGACCCCAGGCAGAGCTTTGAGGGGACTTGCACACCACATTTCTGTCTGCAGGGGAATGGCCAGGGCTGCGGCTGGTGGGCGGCTCCGGACGGTGCTCAGGACGCGTGGAGGTCCTCCACCAGGGGRCCTGGGGCACYGTGTGYGAYGACCTGTGGGACCTGAAYGAAGCCRAGGTCGTGTGCCGYCAGYTGGAGTGTGGACAGGCCATTTCTGGCCCTGGCGGGGCCTACTTTGGCCCAGGCTCAGGAGACATCTTCTTGGACAACCTGCAGTGCTCTGGAGTGGAGCGTCACCTGGGCCAGTGCGCCCACTTGGGCTGGTCCGAGCACAACTGTGACCACCACGAGGACGCCAGTGTCATCTGCTCAGGTACAAACTCTCCCTCTAAGAAAATGCTTCTGGTAGTGGATTGAAGACGTTCTAAAGCTATCTTCCTGGATGGAAGTTTCCGTCCCTCCATCTGCCCATTCCTTGAGCACCACTTGAGGCCAGCACTGGGCTCGGACAATGCCCCTGTGTGGGTGGCTCCAGGGTCGCACAGAGGAGGTGACAGTGGGCAGCAGCCCCACCTGGGCAGTGCAGTACAGGTTCCAGTGCCCTGCCCCCAAGACAGTGACCAAGTTAATCCCAGCCTGGCCGCCATGGGGCAGAGTTGACCCAGCTGCTGAGCCCCAGTCCTCCGGCCAAAGACCTTGCCACATGAGGGCTGAAGGTGCCCGGGGACAGCTCTAGTATTCTGGGCTCATATCCCTTGAAAGGCCGTGTCCTTCCTCCTCCATCCACTAAGGACACCCTTGTCACCCCACCTCCTCCACACTGTGGACTCATTCAAGAAGGTGACCTATTACCTTTCTTTGTGCAGCAGATTCAGCAGACCTGCCTCCGCCCACACCTCCAGGTATGTCCATATTTTTTCCTGATTCAGGCAACTTTCCAATAATAATAAAAACAGCAATAATAATAATAAGAGCAGCAAATACTTAAGGGCCAGGCGTTGTTCTGAGCCCTTCACATACAGACAGACGCTCCTCCACTTACGATGCGGTTAAGTCCCGATAAACTCGTTGCAAGTTGGAAAACATCCTAAGTCGAAGGAGGCACTTCCTAGCCTAACCCGCCAAGCTCAGAGCTTAGCAACAGGGCTGAGCACTCCCCTGACTGCCTGGTGGACTAGGAGTGCAGCTTGCTGCAGAGGGCGGTACCCACTGGTGACTGCTAGCCTGGGGAAAGATCGAAATTCACAATCTGAAGCACAGTCTCTACTGAGTGAGTACTGTTTTCACACTGCTGGAAAGTCTAAAAACTGTAAATTGAAACCTCATAATTCAGGGATTATCTGTAACTCATATCATGCTCCAAATAACCCCTTGAGGTAGGTACTTCAATTATTTACATTTTCAATATAAACTGAGACATAGTAAATTTTTTTTAAAGAGAGAGAGAATTTTTTTAATATTTATTTTTTAGTTTCCGGTGGACACAACATCTTTGTTTTGTATGTGGTGCTGAGGATCGAACCCGGGCCGCACGCATGCCAGGCGAGCTACCAGGCGCTACCGCTTGAGCCACATCCCCAGCCCAAGACATAGTAAATTAGCAAGGTTCACAGGGAAGGCCTGTGGGTAATCAGTGCCCTTGACCACCCATCTTAGTCTCCATACCATGCATTGGCCCTGGATACACAAAGACCAGGCAAAACTAGAGCCAAGATAGGGGATGTTTGATTATTGCTAATCAGCAAAGCACTCCTGCAAAAAGGAACTATATGTTATTTTACAGATGAGAAATGTGAGACACAGAAAGGTTGAGTAACTTTCTCAAGATCACTCAGCAAATAGAACCACATTTTGACACTGACCAATCTGACCCTAAAGTTGAAGCTCTTGGGGATCGTGTGACTTTTTCCTGCTTTCACAGCTCTTATGACTTAATGATTGAATGATATCCATCTGTGATAAAACCAGAAATCAGAAAACAGCAGACCCACACACACACAGTGAATTCCGACGTGACACTGGTGTTTCCTTTCATTGTGACAAGACTTCCCGGCACCTGTTCAACACAGGTGTGGTGCAAGGGTTTCCAGATAAATTATTTATTCTTAGGGTTGAGGATTAGGGAGAGCCCAAAGCCTGCCCAAGATAACTTGATTGAAAAGAGGCAGAACTGGGTGTTGGTAGGCCGTCCCTTGCCCTTCGAGGCACCTGGATGCACCTGGATGCACCCGCCCAGCTGCAGAGAAGCCACAAGCCCTGGGAGAAGCTTCTCTCCTGCGTCTGCCTGGAGGGGCCCTGGATGTGCTCTGGGTGTGCTCCGTGGGGGGCTGTGAGTGATAAGGAGGGCTGTCTAAAGCTCGAGGGCCACGGTTAGGGGCGAGAGCCCTGGTATTCAAATGAGGCTCGTCTGTAGTTTTCTCATTCAGGTAAATTGCAGGGACAGCAGGGAAAGGAGAACACGGCCAGTGAGAGGAGCCGTCTGGTTGCCAGTTGCTGCCCCAAAGCTTAGAGGCTGAAGCAGCCACCATTTAGATACGGGTCATGGGTTGTGGGCGGGGAATGTGGGCTGGGGTCAGCGGGGGGTCCTGCTCCACTGGGCCTCAAGCAGGGTCACTCCACGGTGTTCTCTGGTGGCTGACTCCCAGGCTGGGTGTACCTGGATGTGGGCTGCTGGAAGGATGGGCTCCTGTCCACGTGGCTCAGGGGCTCCTCACAGGGTCCCTCCTGCAGGGCAGTCAGAGGTCTTAAAAGTTGGTGTCATGCTGGGTCCCGTAGCACAGTGCTTGTCATCCCAGCAGCTCAGGAGGCTGAGGCAGGAGGATCTCGAGTTCAAAGCCAGCCTCAGCAACTTAGTGAGGCCCTGAGCAATCAGAGACCCCATCTCTAAAAAAAAAAAAAAAGTATACACACACACGGGCTGGAAATGTGGCTCAGTAGTTAAGCACCCCTAGATTCAATCCCCAGTGCCAAAAACAAAAAGATGGTGTGGGGCCACAGGAGCAAGCCAGTGTTCTGAGACAGGAAATAGAAGCCGCCAGTCCCTTAAAGGCACATCGCCACCCCTTCTGCCATGTTCTGTTGGTCAAAGCAGTCCCAGAGCCCAGGCAGTTCGAGGGAGGGAAACTAGACCCCATCTCTTGACAGGAGGCATGTGACCTGACCAAGAAAGTGTGGCCTGCTCTCACCGGCCACAGGCCCTGGAGGACATTCACTTGTGCCACCAACTCTTCTTGATTTACACTAAAGTCCTTGACATTTCCAGGAAAAGCTTTCTGCTTCTCCAACTTGTAGATGAGAATGAACATTTCCCCCAGATGTCATTATTTTCTCCTCTTTTTCTCTTCCAGGTCCTTCTGTACCTTCTCAGGATCACATAGCAGGTAATCACTTCTTTTAAGTGGAAATGATTCCCTGTCAAGAGACCCTCAGAGCAGACTGGAGGCTGTTGCTCAGGATGTAGCTCAAAGAGACACTGGCAAGGGGGCCAGCTTCTCTGCTGCAACTCTAAAAGCTGAACTTTTAAAAATTCCATTTGTTCTTTTTAGATATATACGACAATAGAACGTATTTTGACATGTTCATGCATATATGACACAGTATATCTTATTCTAATTAGGCTCCCATTCTTTTGGTTGAACATGACGTGGAGTTACACCAGTCTTGTATTCATATATGAACATAGGAAAGTTATATCCGACTCATTCTACTCTTTCCTATTCCCATCACCCCCTTCCCTTCATTCCCCTTTGTCTAATCCAAAGAACTTRTATTCCTCCCTCCATCTCTTATTGTGTGTTAGCATAAGCATATCAGAGACAACATTCACCCTTTGATTTGGGGGGATTGAATTATTTCACTTAGCATGATAGTCTCAAGTTCCATCCATTTACCAGCAAACGTCATACTTTCATTCTTTTTTATGGCTGCGGAAATATTTCATTGTGTATATACACCACATTTTCTTTATCAATTCATCTGTTGAAGGGCACCTAGGTTGGTTCCATAGCTTAGCTATTATGAATTGAGCTGCTACAAACATTGATGTGGCTGTGTCCCTGTGGTATGCTGATTTTAAGTTCTTTGGGTATAGACTGAGGAGTGGGATAGCTGGGTCAAATGGTGGTTCCCTTCCAAGTTTTCTGAGGAATCTCCATAATACTTTCCAGAGTGATTGCACCAATTTGCAGTCCCACCAGCAATGTATGARTATTCTTGATAATTGCCATTCTGACTGGAGGGAAATAGAATTGTAGTGTAGTTTTAATTTGCATTTCTCCACTTGCTAGAGATGTTGAACATTTTCTTATATATTTGCTGACCATTTGTATTTCTTCTTCTATGAAGTGATTGTTCAGTTCCTTTGCCCATTTATCAATCAGGTTATTTCAGGGTTAAGTTTTTTGAGTTCTTTATATATCCTGGAGATTAATRYTCTATCTGGGGTGCAGATGGTAAAGATTTTCTCCCATTCTGTGGGCTCTCTCTTTACRTTCTTGATTGTCTCCTTTGCTGTGAAAAAGCTTTTTAGTTTGATATCATCCCATTTGATTCTTGATTTTACTTCTTGCACTTTAGGAATCTTATTGAGGAAGTTGGTTCCTAAGCCAACATGATGAAGATTGGGGCCTACATTTTCTTCTAGYAGGGGCAAACCCCTCTGGTCTAAACCTAGGTCCTTGATCCACTTTGAGTTGGACTTTGTGCAGGATGAGAGATAGAGGATCAAGTTCATTCTGCTACATATAKATTTCCAGTATTCCCAGCATTATTTGATGAAAAGGCTGTTTTTCTAAAATGTATGTTTATGATGCCTTTGTCTAGTAGGAGACAAATGTACTTATGTGTGTTTGTCTCTGTGTCTTCTATCTTTTTCATTGGTCTTCATGTCTGTCTTGGTGTCAATACCATGTGGTTCTGTTATGATAGCTCTGTAGTATATTTAAGGTCAGGTATTGTGATGTCTGCTGCTTCACTTTTCTCACTAAGGATTGCTTTGGCTATTCTGGACCTCTTATTTTTCCAAATGAATTTCGTGACTGCTTTTTCTATTTATATGAAGAACATCACTGGAATTTTAATAGGAGTTGCATTACATATGTATATAAATGCTGAACTTTTGATGAGAGGAGCAGGTCAGAGTAGGCAGGAGRCTGAGGAGAGATGTGAGAATGTGGCTCCTGAGCCCGTCAGGCCCGGGCTCAGCCTGCCTTCTTTGGGAACAGTCCTGTAGAGAGGAGGCAGCAGCCCACCATCCCCTGCCACATGTGTGGAGAGAGTACAGAGAGTTCCGCTCTCAGGGGCTTCAGTGTCAGGCTGACCTGGCTCTGTCATTGTGACCTACAGATGTGATTAGTGATAAAACTCTAGGACAACCAGGAGCGCTACCACTTCCCAACATCCATCTCAGGAAGGACGAGCAATCTGCAGGACTGTGATAGGACTGCAAATTGGCCAGAGGAGCAGAAAGAAGAAAACTGAAGCAACTTTACAATATGTAGGGACAAGGTCAATAAAGCTGGTTCCAAGATCATTTGATATTCTAAGTCTCTGCTCCCTTACGTGTCATGCTGCTTTAAATGTACACGTGTGTGCATGTATCTAGTTGTACAAATTTGAAAACAAATATGAAAGAATCATATTTCACTGTTATCTCGTTTACCCTTATAAGTCCAAAAAACTACAAGTTCCAGTGTGAGTACAACTGAGTTACAGGAAACACAATCTACCAGGGAAAAGTTATGAAAAAGTACTCCGAGGGGGTCCCAGTCACAGCCTCCCCAAGCAGTGCTCCAAGTCCCTTTCCCTTCGTCTCGGACTCATCAGACCCCAAAGTTGTTCTAGTGGCTCTTGCTCCCCAGACCCCCCCAATCTCTCCCCTACATGGGTGCACAACCTCTTTGTCTCTCCTTCCCAACCTCTCTGCTCCCAGCATGCATAAACCCCAGGGGAGGAGGCAGTAGGCAGAGAGGACAAAGGTCACACTTCTCTATCAGGTGGTAATGAGGAGGGAAAGACAAGGAACTTTCATGAATGGTTAACACTTTTGACCCATCAGAATCAGATTGAATGCTCTCTCCTTCCTAAGAGAAATGAAGGCTAACGACAGCTCAGATTGCTCTGTCCAGCCAGGCAAGGCCACTGGACCCCGCTGGACCACTGGGTGACACCATCCTGACATCTTTTTTTCCCTGTTGTTTCAGGAGGAAGTAACTCTTGTGGAGGGGTCATTTCTAGTCTCTCTGGCTCATTTTCTAGTCCACGATATCCAGAAAACTACCCAACAGACATCCAATGTGTTTGGGAAATTCATGTGGATAAAAAATTCCGTATAGAGCTCACGATTCCAAGTTTGAAGTAAGAAAACTTTTAAATATTCACATAACAATATCAGTTGTAAAATTATGATGAAGATATCTCTTTTAGTGGGAAACATTTAAGGGTGAACCCAGAAGAACACAAAACTCTACCATCTTTCCAAGTCAAATTTGGCTTACATTCATAATGTTATGCACTGAGTCACTTCTAGCTTAAAAAACTCAGTAAGTAGCTTATTAACCCACTTTGCCCATTTGCCAGGTGTGAAACACCTGTAAAAATGTAAAATGAGCACCTTATGGTAACTTTGAAATAATTATCATGTTTTACAGGTCTAATCCTTTGAGAAAAATAATAGGTGAATGATTAGAGGTACATATCTACCTCCCATATGCATATAAAAATAGTTATGAGGGATACAAAGTCTATATTATGATTTTTAACCTATTTTAATGTGTCTTTATCAATCTCATTGAAATATTTACAGAATTGTAAGCTTGAGACTTCGTTGGTGAACATATTCACTTGACCTTCTCTGGATAGTTTCCCTTTTGATTTTTTTCCCCTAAAATCATTACAAAATACTCAACACATTTTCCCTTGTAATACACTGAGTGCCAATAGTTTTCTTCTTAAACTTTATTTTTTAAATCTAAATTTTAAACAAACAGTAGGACACTTTCCGTATGCACACATTGGCCCAYGACTCCAGCCCCGGGACGTGCATCTTCTGAGTGTTCCACAAAGTGAAAGGAGACGGAAAAGACATTGTCCCATCCTGACATGAAGAGAACAGGTGTCGTCCTTAGTCACTGCCATATTTTTGTCTCAGTGACATAATGGCTGACTTTTTAAAGGCTGACCGTGTGCCCACACTGTCCTGTACACCTTTATGCTTTGGGGGTTAATACAGCTCCCAAATAGATGTCGTTGTCATTCCCGTTAGAGGTGAGGAAACCGACTCCCAGGGGACAATACATTTCCAAGGCCAACCCACGTCGGTCTGTCAGACACGGAACCCAGCTCTTCACTGATCCGAGATCCCTCCAGCAGAGTCTGCCCAGGACCTTTCTTGTACAYGACACCTGCGAGGCCACGCTGGTGAGGCTGTGGATCCCTGATAACCCAGCCTCAGCCAGGCTCTGAACTGTTGATCAGTCATGACTGCACCAAGCCATGGATGCAGACGGTCCAACAAAACAAACAAAATAAACTAATAAAGCCCTAAGCCACGTTATCTTTGTTGGCTGAAGCCACAGGCTCGTAATGATCCCACAGTAAGGAGGAGCCTGAACGTACACCTCCCCGGCCTATCATGATGTGGGCTGTGTATTTCCTCAGCATCACTCTTCATCATATCCCCCATAAATAAATGGCCAAAGTGCAAATACCCTTCTATATGCTGCTATTGCTTTCATTTTAAAATCAAGTTTTTTCCTCCTAAGCATTTGGATGTTATGGAAGATACTGTGAATCGTAGAGGTAGGGAGATCTGGTTGTGACAGCCATTACATGCTGATCATCAGGTGATCTGACTGTTGATTTAGCTGCAGTATTATTACAGTCATAACAAATATTGTTTTTATTTGTTAATGTCTCATGCAGGTTGGGACTGGCCAAAACAATTAAGATTTTAAAACTTCTGTCATAAATAAGTTGCACACATTCCTCAGGGAAAGAAAAGGAGTTCTGAGAAAGCATCTGAAAAAATTGATCAATATTTCTATGTTAGTGTGAAACTTAAGCTCTGATCCACATATTCAAGCTCTATATTGTCACACTTGGAGCATTAACATCTAGGGAGCTTCTAACCTTCCACTACCTTCCACTTCTCTTCCCGCAGGCTGGAAGATATCCTCGGCTGTCCCTATGACTCGGTGGAGATCTTCGATGGCCCCAGGATCGCCTCGCTCTCCATGGGGAAGTTCTGTGCCCCAGCAGCTGTGCTATTTTTCTCCTCGTCAGAAATCATGACGGTGGTGTTCCGCAGCGATTCCATGATAACCAACACCGGCTTTCATGCTCTGTTCAATGCGATTGCACAGGGCGAAAGGGAGTCAGGTGGGAAGCCTGACTGAGCAGTTTCTCACTATGACAGAGGTTTGGGATTCTGTTTTCAAAGATCCTCACTCTCAGCTCCATCCACCCTGATCAGGACCTGCTAGATTTTCCCACAGAGGGCCACGTGGCAAGCTACAGTAAAGTAGTGATGTGTACCCAGAGTGTAAAGGGCCAGGCAGCAACCATCCTGGGGACAGCTGTAAGCTATGCAGTGTCTTCAGGCTGTATTGGCTATTGTCAGCGCCTCGGGAACTGTCCAGAGTGCTGAATCGTGGGACCCTTAGAGGTGGCGCTTTTCTCTACCAGCTGTCCATTTCATACTTCCACACATGGTGCCTGGTCTCAGCCAAGGAGAGGCTGAGGACCACTGTTCTCCATGGCCCTATAGGCAGCCATTCCAGCATTCGCCCAATTTTCAATCTGAAAGCACGCTGCCTTCCAGTTAGGGACTTCGGTGCTCAGGGTCCAGCAGGAGTCTTGGTAATTCTTTCAGGCCTTCAGAAAGCCAAGTAGTAAGTCCCCAGCTGCAGTTTGAGTTTGTGTGATTTTTGTGAAGGGAATGTCTCTTATCTGACCTTCAAAGGCGTGTTGGAGACCCTGCCCTGGGGTAAGGAACCCCCAGCATTTGCAATCAAGACCACTCTGACTCATGACCCCAATTCACTCATTAAATAATAGCCAGGCAGGTTCTTCATGCTCCAGGCTTGTTGGAAGGGTGTGGCACAGAACAGAACCGGCTCCCTGCCCTGTGTTCCAGGGTGGGTGCCAGAAGGAGGAGAGGCTCAAGACAAGAGAAGCAAGTAAATAGACAGGAGGAGTTGGGGAGAGGGATGACAAAAGGTGCAGATAAGGGCTGGGAAGACAGGGCAGGTGGCCTAGTAGAGAGTGCCTGAGGGAAGGGGCACCTGGGGACATGGTACCCCTGAGGAGGTGACATGTGAGGAATGACAGGCAGAGAGAGCAGCAGATGCAAAGGCCTCCAGGGGAGAGCTGGACATACTGGAGCAGACTGGAGGAGCCTTACTGTGGGCACAGTAAGAAGAGGCTGTCCTTAGGGTAGCTCCAGGAGGCAGCAGGTAATTCCAACTGGCCACCGCCCTTTGGCCCAGAAATTGCCATTGTCATTTGATTCAATGAGGCCGCAGCCATCTTGGTGGAACAATGCCTGTCAGGGGCTAAACCTATACTTATCCAAGACACACCAAAGAAGAGCAGCTGGGAATCTGCTTCCCCAGTAGCTAGGCATTTTGATACAGACAACCACATGGAAAGATCTGCTGCAACCGACCATGTTGCTGGGGCTGAGCTGTGTCCTTCATGTGGACACCCTGGTTGATTTATTCCTGCAGCCCTCTGAGGTAGGTGCTGCTGGAGCTCCCATGTTACAGATGAGGAAACCGAAGCTCAGAGAGACAAAACAATTTGTCAAATTTTACACAACTAGAGAGCAGTAGAACTGGGATTCAAACCCGATTTCTGTCTCACTCTAAGCCCTTCTGCCTGTCATGGAACCAAGTCAGCTTTAAGGTTTGGCTCTTGTGTTGTTTGGCCTTGGCCATGGCACGAGAGTTAGAAGCCACTTCCTACATTTAAACTTTCAAAATTCAAAAATAAAATCCTCCTCTGTTTAGAAGATGGACCAGTGCTGCAGCTGGTGGGCGGCTCCGGAAGGTGCTCAGGACGCGTGGAGGTCCTCCACCAGGGGTCCTGGGGCACCGTGTGTGACGACCTGTGGGACTTGAAGGAAGCTGAGGTCGTGTGCAGACAGCTGGAGTGCGGACAGGCCATTGCTGCTCCTGGAAAGGCCCACTTTGGCCCAGGCTCTGGAGACATCCTCCTGGACAACATCCAGTGTTCAGGAAGCGAGAGCCACCTTGGCCAATGCCCCAGCTCTGGCTGGTCAGACCATAACTGTGGCCATCATGAGGATGCTGGTGTTGTCTGCTCAGGTACCCTCCCCTCGCACAGCGGGTTCTTTTTATGAGGGGTCTTAGTGATAGATGGGGACCATGCATAGATAGAGTAGGGCCAGGGAATCTAAGGACAGTGGCCATCAGATGGCCATCCCTTCAGCCAGGTAGCCAGAGATTACTGAGGGGCTCACTGTTCTGAGGATAAGCACACCAGACCACTCAGCTGGCTGGTCCTCTTCTCTGCACATTTCCTAGGTGTCTTGCCTAAGAAAGCCGCGTCCTTGTGCTTACTTAGGTAACATGAGGTGTGCCTGCTTCAGACCTGCCCACCTAGAAAGCCATTTCTTTGTCTTCATAGAATTTAAGTTAGATCTCTAAATTTGCTTATTTTCCATACATGCAGGTGCTGGGAACTGGGCTACAGCTGTGACTCCTACACCCAGAGGTAAGTCCAACACTGGGAATTTCCATCTCTGCAAAATTAAAGAGGAATCTGACCCGTGTCCTGACCAAGACCCTAGTGAACAGTGACCAGATCACTGAATTCCAATTATAGTTGCACACTGCCGCCACCCAAGGAGCTTCTGAAATTCCCTGTGTCCTGACTGAACCCAGGACCAGTCACATCCAGAACCTCTGGGGTGACTCCCACTCATCACTAATACTTAAATCTCCCCGTGTGATGCAATGTGCGGCTCAGGTTGAGAGCCAGTAGCTCAGACGAGGGACTAAGAGTCACATTTCCCAAATGGAATTACTTTCAAAACTYGCTCTGTCTAGTGGCAGAGCAAGGAGGGGCAGGAGGAGAGAGAAGAAGAATGGTTCAATCACTGTGACTGAGGAGAGGGTCAACCTGGAGAGGAGAGAAGGTAGAAAGGTTTGCATCTCAGGGACGAGGGTTACAAAATGAAAGCATGCAGAGAAACAAACAGAAACAAAGATGCATTCAATGGCAAACTCTGTTCCCGCTGCTCAATAACAGACGTCTGGTAAATAAACCATTTGGGCCGGTGCAGTGGTTCATACCTGTGATCCTAACTTGGGAGGTTGAGGCAAGAGGATCACAAGTTCAAAGTCAGGCTCAGCAACTTACTAAGACCCCGTCTCAAAATAAAAAATAAAAAGGACTGGGGATATAGCTCAGTGGTAGGGCATCCCTGAATTCAATATCCAGCACCAAAGAGAGAGAGGGGGCGGGGGGAGAGAGAGAGAAGGAAACAAACCATCTGGGGGCTCTGCCTTGGGTTCCTTGGCTTATCCAACACAACAGAGTAGAACTTCTGGTAACCTGCTCAAAGTCACAATTCCATCTAGACCAGCTCACGTGTGGCCCTGCCTCTTCCCTCTGCTTCTAAGACAGGTTCTCAGCTGCCTTCTTCCCTGACCCCAGCTCCCAGGGCCTGGCCTAGGTCCTCTCTGTCTCTGCCATTGACTGTTGCCACTGGGGGCTGGACACTGGATGGTGCCAGGATTCCCCCAGGATGGCTGGAAGCTATCCCTACCCGGCTGACAGCACCATGGCACATCTGTGGAACCTCAGTGGAGGTCTCTTACCCACTTCCATCCAGGGCCTGTGTGCACCCCAGGACAGACAGCACCATCCMTTGAGGGCTTCACATTCACTGTGGCTGGAGCAGTGGTCCTGTGGAAAGAGGAGAGTGAYTTCTCCATCCCTGACTGAGGCCCCACGTTTTCATTTCACAATGGGACCCACAATTTTATAGCAGMCCCGGAGGGAAGACAGAGCATACAGGATCCCTTCTTAGGGTCTAACGAATAGCTGGGCCCCTCTGATTCCTCCTGGCTTTCCTCTTCTTCCCTGGCGAGGAATCTGYTGTAGCCTGGGTCAGGGAGGAAGAGGCCTGGACGGGAGAAGGGAGGGTGGGGCTTTCAGTGCTTCAGCTGATTCTGCACCTAAGTCCTCCTGGAGCCCAGGGTTTCAAACCTCAGGGGCCTTTCTTTCTTCCCTGTACTCCAAGATCCCTTTTTATGAAGCATAGAGGCCTCGCTGACTGGAGAAGAGAATGGGCCATGGGAAAAAAGAAACTGGGGGTGAGGGTGGGAATGGGACCATTTCTGTGTAAATAGTATCCATCTGTGAGCATTAATCCAGCAAACCACTTACTGATCGACCATGAGACCTCTATCTAGGCACAAAAATAYAATACTTTTGCCATTTAATTTTCTGAGAGAAATACTGTGTATCAGGCATTTAACAAAAGAAAATTGCTTCTGAGATGCTGAAGGTTGGAAAAAAATCATTGTGTTGGTCCCCAACCCTGTCCTGGGCAAAGGACAGGAAAGTGGACAGCATCCCTCACTTCACTGCTCTGCCCCTTGCAGCAGAGCTGGCTGCAGAGCAAGATGACAGGGTAAAGGAATTCTCAACCCTCTGCCTGGGTGTTCAGACTCCCTCCCACCAAGCCTCCCTGTAAACTCAGGCAGGTGGCACATCCCAAAGAACATGCTTTCAAAAATTCCTTGCCCTCAGCCAGCCTTGTGGGGARAGGACTGAGAATACGGGATATTGAATGTTGAGATATGTGCTACATAGAAATCAGAGCCAACAGGATGCATGAAAGGAGAAGGAAGGGACCTTAAACAAGCCCTGAAGCYCACCTTCCTTCACAGGACCCTCCGGCCTACCCCTCCTGCCCCTGGCTCTAGGATTCTGGTTTTTCTCCTCTTAGATTCTGGCACTTGATCAATTTTTACAGACACAGTGGCGTGGTCAACAAGCCCAGTGATGTTACTGTGGGTCATTCACAGTGACCAATCAGTCTCAGGACAGCCCTTGGGTTTGGTGGACCAAGCACAGAAGAGAAAAGATGTCTCGCTGCTGGACACTGTCTGTGATTATCTGGTGAATCCATTGAAAGAAATGGACCAGCTCCACCCTAGATCAGGGAGAAAAGAGAGAGTGTCCACACTACTTAGTAAAACCCAAGAGGAGTAACATGTTCATTCATTTGCCCTTAATTAAGTGTGATTTTTTAAATTTTTTTATTTATTTTTTAAGTTTTTAGTTGCACATGACAGTAGAATGTATTTTGGCAGGATATACATACACACAGTATAACTTATTCTATTAGGTTCCCACTCTGTGGTCAAACACAATGAGGAGTTACCCTGGTCATGTGGACAAATACAAGGCTAGGAATGTTATTTCTCTGTCTTTCCTAGTCCCCTCCCTACTAGTCCAATCTATTTCCATCCTTCCCTCCCCAGCCTCCCTGGTTTTGCAAGTGTGATTTTATGATGCTCAGCTCTCTCCTGCTTTTCTCTGTATTTTGCAGCTGCTGTTGGTCAAGTGCCTACACCAAAAGGTAACCCTCTTCATTGAAATCATGGCCTAGAAAGCATCAAGTGAGATCATTTGGATAATTCATAAAAGCAGAATGGACTTCTATCTGTCCAGGCTGCCATGASGGGGAGCAATGGGTGGGATCGAGCCCTCACAGAGGGGTGGGCTGTCCACACCTGAGTTGAGCTGGTTTGTGTGACAGGACCCCGGGGACAGCATTAAAGAAGCACAGCCTGGACACGCCCACGTGTCACCTGCACGTGTCCAGTCCTTTCCCAGTCTCACCCACAGTTGATTGTAAGGTCCCACTCTCATCCTCCCACATGGCCCCTGAGCGGTGTACCACCCGCCCCAGCCAAGCCACAGCCATGCCCAGACCAGCAGAGTCCCTCCTCTTTTTGCGATTCTGCTGTTGAGCTTGATGGAATTCTGGTTCCTGCATCTGGGAAAATGCAGGGTGCGTGCCCGTCGGGGCCAGCCACGGTCTCTCTTCTGCTCTCACAGAGGGAAGTGACTCTTGCGGGGGAGTCCTTTCGAGCCTCTCGGGCTCCTTCTCCAGTCCTTGGTATCCTAGGAACTACCCCACCGACGTGGAGTGCCTCTGGGTGATACATGTGGCTGAGAAGTTCCACATACAGCTGACCATCCCGAGCCTCAGGTGAGTGGCCTCGCCCCTCTCTACTTCTCAAGCCAGGTGGAATATGACCCGGGGGTCTCCTCAAAGAGGCAGCCTTTCCGTGGCTCAAATCCTTTCACATTTGGGTGAGAACGGGTCTGATCACCTGGGCTGTGCGGGTCTTTCAGTCCTTTAGCTCAGCTTCCTTTGCAATGAGAGAGTAACCCATGAACACGGGCCCTGGTGCCCCTGCGGGTGGCCACACCCACACACCTCACCCCTCCACCTCAGCCAGCTCACCAGAGACCCAGGCTGCTTCCCCTGCTGAATCCAGATCTGCTTTGCTCTTCCCCACCGCCCCATCTTTGTTCCCTTTGATGTACCCAAGGCAAATCTGGTTTCTCTTCCCTCCATGAATTTCTACCACGTCTCTGCTGAGATTTTCTTCTACAAATTGAGCAGCTCATTTATTCCTCCATTGATGAACCTCACACTTCCTACTTCTTTCTCCAATCACTACCCATTTTAAAGGAATTTATCCTATTTTAATGTATATTTATATGTCCCTGTATACATTTGACCATCAGTATCCACAGGGGATTGGTTTTGGGTCCCCCACCTACCCTTAGCTACCAGGCCCACAGATGCTCAAATCCTCTAATAAATCAGAACCCACACATCCTCCTGTGTACCCCAAGTCACCTTGGATGACTGACCAACCTGATTCAAAGTCAATGCTATGCAAGCAGCTGGAACACTGTAATGTTAGGGAATCAAGATAAGACAAAAGTCTGCAGTTTTAGGACTGATTTAGTACAGATGCAGTTTTTTTTCAAGTATTTGTGATCCACGGTTGATTGCATCCTCAGGTGCAGAACCCACAGGTGTGCAGGGCCAGTTGGAGATATATATATATATTTTTTCACTCATACACCATACACATGAGTAACTTTCTAAAAAAAATTACCTTCCCACCTGTCTACACTGGTTGTATCTGGGTTATTCTCTCTTCTTGACTTTGTCCTGCAGTATGTCTCAGATCTCTGCTGCTTCTTCCTGCCCGCGATCATCAGCCACAGCAGCACAGGGTCCGAATGGCTAACTGCTGTCTTCAGAAGCATAAAAAGTTCAGGCAGTAGAACAAAGGGTGGAGTCCACTGGTGTCTCCTGGCTGACAAATTCATTTTGGCTAGAGAGGACATAAATGAACATCAGGGGTCACACATTATGAGCAATCTATGTTTATCATCCATTCATTCAATATGCATTTATCTGTAGAAAACAATGTGAGGAGATTTGGTATCACATATTTCTAATATATGAAATTTAAAGTTCTAATGGTTTATTAAGACACAGCATCTCATTTTTTCACTTCTGGAAAATAGTTATTCCAAAGAACTGTAATGACTCACATCCCCTGTAATGAAAAGGTCGCTATTACAACGTAGAGTTCCTACTACAGTTCTGAAGCACACAATCAAGAAACATTTAATGTGTTGCCTGGAACCACAGCACAGTTGCTAATTTGGGAGGGTTCTCTGTTTTTAAGTCTAGATTTATCAATATTTGCTTTTTGTTTCTCAAGACATAAAATTAGTCATGATTTACAACGAGGTTCTGAACTTGAAGAGATTTTACCACTTATAGGACTTGTGTGTATTGAGCCCCACTCTGTGGGGGCCCTGGTCTAGGAGTGGGCTTATCACACCAAACAAGACAGACAAGCCCTCTTCCATCCTGTTTGCATCCTAGAGGGAAAGACGGTGCTCAAATAAACCAAAAACTAAGTGGACAATCTCAGACAGCAATAAGTTTGACAAGTGCTGTGAAGAAAAATGCACACATCTACAGCTGTGGGCTAGAGGGTGAGGAGGAGAAGCAGTGGAGGGACGGTCAAGAAGCCTCTGGTCATCCAGGTGGGATGGAACCTGTGTGAAGGCATTTGGTTTGGACCAGGCAGTTTGGGGCACTGGTGGGAAGAGTCCACCCCACGAGGCCTGGAGCTTTCCACAGCTGTCATTATTTCTCCACGCTCAGGAGTCTTCTTGACTATGACTCAATGAGCCCCTGTTGAACACTGACCACCACCCAGGGAGTGGCATGATTTGAATTAAAGAGTCAGGGGACATTAAGGAGATACTCAAGGTAGAGAGAAAAGGGGTGGGGGAAGCTGAGAGCCAGGATTCCTGGTGGGAGGTCACTAAAATGGACCAGGCGAGAGATGGAGTCGGATAACTGGGTGGTCCCAGGAGGGAAGGATGGAGGCAGATTCAAGGTGCTCCTTCAGAGGTCACGTGGTTGGCAGGGGCCGGTTAGGAGAAGATGGCAGGATGCCTGCCCAGATCTCCTGGGAGTCTAACGCTGCCTTCCTGTCCTAGACTAGAGGACATCTATGGGTGTCCCTATGACTTTGTGGAGGTGTTTGATGGACGGCAAGCTGCCTCGCTCTCCATGGGCAGATTTTGTGCTGGAGAAGAGCTCACATTCCTCTCGTCTTCGAATATCATGACCGTGGAGTTCAGAAGTGACGCCATGATCACCAGCACGGGGTTTTATGCTCTGTACAGCACCATTCCGCAGGATGAAAGGGAGAGTGGTGGGTATCTTGACGTGAGCCTCACAGGAAGTTATGTCTAACTCGCATCCTGTCCCTTTAAGAGAGGAGGCACTTTCTGAATCTAATCTGAGGAATCACCCCCACTGCTGACAACCTTAGTGACATCCACACAAGCCCCAGACACAATCCTCACCCCTGCTCTGCCGCCCAGTGTCACCCCCACTGAAGAAACAGATGGCCGAGGTCTCCTATCTTGCACTGGCTGTGTGTTGGCAAAGGTCCCAAATGAGAGCCTCCTTCTCCAAGGGAAGGAAAATCAATCTGGACCAAAACTGTGGGAAACTGCAACTAGCAGCCCACCTGCTCCCAGCTGAATCCAGTACAAAACCATCCAGATCATTTCCGGTTCTTTGAGGTCCTCCCACTGCACTCGGGTGGCTCATGCCTGGGGTCTGTGTAAGCTGTTGTCCCGCTGGGATACTTTTATGAGTTTAAAAGAGGTTCTAAAATAATCAGCAGGCATTGATGGATCTTCCCCATCACAGCCAGGACGATTCCAGGTAAATCAGGACACAGGGACACACTTCCTAGGGGCTCAGAGTCCAGCAGGGGAACCCGTGCCCACGTGCCAGAAAACGCTTTCTACCTGCAGAAGGTCCTAGGGTTGTGGACAGCACCACAGCTCAGAAGCCCCCGTTTTCCTGTCCCCAGAGATGTCCCTGCGACTGGTGAACGGCAGCCACAGGTGTGAGGGCCGGGTGGAGGTCTTCTACAACGGCACCTGGGGCACGGTGTGTGATGACAGCTGGGACCTGAGCGATGCCAGGGTGGTGTGCCAGCAGCTCGGCTGTGGCGAGGCCCTGTCAGCCCCAGCTCAGAGCTACTTTGACGGGGGCACTGGTCACATCATGCTGGATGACGTGCGGTGCACAGGGACCGAGGCCAAGGTGTGGCAGTGCACACACAACGGGTGGCTCTCCCACAACTGTGGGCACCACGAGGACGCCAGCGCCATCTGCTCCGGTGAGCACCCGTGAGCACACAGCACACCTCAGGGGGGACGTCACCCACCGGTAGCCTCTGGGAAGGGACATGTCAACGGCAGCAGGCAATGAGTCCGGGCAAGTGCAGGGCGTCAGGCCAGCTTCTTAAGTCAATTTGCTGAAGAGTTAGTTCCCTCTTCGACCGCGGCACCTGTAAAATGTTGACGGCTCCCCGAAGAAAGTTGAGGTGACTCAATAGAGGGTTAGTCTCAGCAGATGTCCTATTCCTGGAGGGACCTCCAGGGCATCGGTGACTACTGCTCTCCTGAGTAGGAAGAGGAGTCGGTGCCCATCGAGTGCTTAGCCATGCCAACCTCTTGTGGCAACCTGTGTCCTCCCACTCCCATTTAATCTTCCCAGCCTCTAATGGAGACGACAGGCACCTGCCCTTGACAAGGCAGCACAGGCCTGTCCAGGATCACACGCGGGTCTTATGGTCTCGCCAAGGACAGATCACCCCGTCAGGAAAGCCCAGTCAACCCAGAAACTTGCCAAAAGCAAACATGTAGCATCTGAGTCCCAAAGAGCAAAGTGTGCTCCCTCATCAGGAGGCACTGATCTTTTAACCAACTCTAATGAGTTTCGATACCATGTCACCAACTGCCCAGAATAGAATACGCTTGATCCTGAACAAAGTGCTCGATTTTTTTTTTTCGTGAATTGTGTGAACACCTTACTCAATCCTCTCTCATTCTCCCACCTACTTCTGAATAGGTATTGGTGGCAATCCAAAGGGAGGACCAACAGGTACTGTTTTTCCATATGGTTCGACCAGTTGCCAGGTCCCTGGTGTATGTGAATCCTGGTTACTGTTTAATCCTGAGGTTGGGGCACAGTCCAGTGGAGTTCTCTGTGGCTAATTAACAAGAGCCGTGCAGTCCATTAGGACTGACAAAATGGTGGGGCCGAGGGGCTGCAGAGGGTGGGAAGAAAGGCAAGAGGGAGGGAAGGAGCAGATTCACCAGAGATACGACCTGTCAGCCACGGGGACTCTGCACCAGTACCTGCTGCGAAGACAAGGCTGACTGCTTGCAGCCATGGCCGTGTGTGAAAGGCTGGAGGGAGCGAGACAATGAGAACCCCAGGCCAGCCCTGGACAAGCTGTAGGGGTGACACCCATCCGCACACTTGGTGTTCGAAGGTCCAAGCTCTTGAGAAGCCAGAGTCATCTCTGTCCACTGGGGGACAGAGAAATCCTAGCATTGGAAGCCAGTGCTCTGAGTATTTTAAAGGAGTGTTCTGGACAGAGACCCTCACTCATGGTGTCACTCTTGCTCTGTATTTTCACAGGTGTCACTGATGACAGTCCCTTTACAGGTACTTCAGCTCCTGCAAGCTCCCCATGTGGTCCCGTGTGTGTTTCACATCAATGTCAACTCTTCCTGTAACTGGACAGATGTCCTTTCTTCCTTTTGTATTTGAGAAGTAGCTGGACAGAGCCCTTTAACCACTTCCATACCAAGGCCGATATTGCAGCCATACACGGGATGCTTTATGTAACCTTGATCTTAATGTCAGCTAGGATTTGTGTATAATTATCAAAAGATAATTTGGGTATCCTAAAATTTTGTAAGAATTTATTTGAACAGAGAGCCATTTTGAATTGAACATCTCCTCACCGGAGTGGTTCGGGGGCTCCACTGAGGGGAAGACTTTGATAGGGTGAACCCAGAAGCAAAGCAAAGAAAATATCGGATTGGGAATTGGGCAGTGGCCTTCTTTAGATCATTTCAGCAGGAAGTGCCCAGTTAGAGTTCAGTGAATAGTCATAATGAGCTAAGTTTTGGTGTGCCAGTAGRAATCCAGGGCACTTGATCAGTTTCGTGTCCTCCCAATTCAGTACTTTAACAAGTGCCACTAGGGATCGTCTCATACAAGCTGTTGTATAACATGCTATACTGAGAAAGGCTACTCTGGTTTGCCCTGTCTGTGCACAAGGTCCATAAAGCCCGTTCAACCCTGTGTACAATCATCCTCTCCTCACAAGAACACCGGAATGGTCTTCATCGGCCCAGGGGGACCGTGTTGGGAGCTTAGGGAGGGTCTGCAGAGCTGACTTTTCTGCAGAAGCAGCCCTAGACCATGTTTTCCTGCTTCTGTTCTCATGATGTCCCCCTTGAGTGGCTGAAAACTCCAGCAGAAGTCAGTGCCCTCCTCATGGGGCTTCTTCACTGTTTCTTACAGAGGGGAACTTCCACTGTGGTGGCGTGCTCACAAATAACTCAGGCTCCTTCTCCAGTCCTTGGTATCCTAAAAAATACCCCATGAATGTGGTATGTGCCTGGGAGATACAAGTGGACTCCAGGGCRCACATCAAACTTACATTTCAAGTGGTCAAGTAAGTAAATGTTCTCTATGCTCACTAATGTTGTCGCGCAGTTCTCCTCCATCCATCCCTCTCAAAAATACACAAACAAAAACTCCCATATTTAATCCTCAAAGGGGAACTCCACCTGAATTTTTAACGTCAAAATTTTAAATGTACAGATCTTGTAACCCAGCAAGTCCAGCCCCAGGAATTAGATCTACAGAGAGTCTCGTGGGCACTGAAAATAATCATGGCAACTTGCACCTTGTAGCAATAGATTGGAAACAGTCTACTGTCCATCAGTAGGGGATCATTTAAATAGATGTCCATGTATCCCCATGTTGCTGTCATGCACATAGTGGATCTTGATATAAAATGGGCTGCAAGAAACCACAGACCATTAAATAGTCTGTGCATAGGCAGTCTCTGGGAGGAAATAAAAAGAAGCCATTCACTGGAACTGCTTCTGGGAAGGAGAAAGAAGTGAGGGGAGCCTAGTCAGGGGTGGGAGGAGATTCTCACTTTTCACCATAAGTCATCAACACCACTTAGATTCTGTTCCCTGTGCTTGTGATATATAAGGAACAAACGCTATTGAATTATAACTTTAAAAATGTAAAGATATTGGAAGCAGGAAGGTCCCTCTTGCCCTTGTCAGCAGGGTCAGTAAGGAAGGCTCCAACCTAGGTGAAGAGCTGTGGGTTTCAGGTAGCTTTCCCAACCCCTGAGCCGACCTGGGTCACTGCCAACTGGGTGAAAAGCCCCCGTGGGTGGAGTTTGAATGTCACTTTTCACTTCACAGAATGGAAAATTTCTACGGCTGTCCTTACGACTTCATCGAAGTCTTCGATGGCCCACAAAGTGAATCTTTTTCCCTGGGGAGGTTCTGCTCAGGGACAACCCCAGTATTTACCTCCTCCTCCAATCGCTTGACCGTGGTGTTCCACAGCGACGCAATCGTCACCAACATGGGCTTCTACGCATCTTACGAGTCCCTAGTTTACAACGAGAATGACACGGGTAAGTCCTTCTGTCATTTCAGCACCTGACCCTGCTTGACAATGACAGTGAAGTTGGATGCCCTCCTCGGGGGACTGGGCACCAGGGATTTAAAAGGGTTTCCCAAGGCCTCTGGGAGTCACATCTCCCAAGGGTGGCTTGAGAAACTGGCCAAGCACCCACAGTCCCCTGCACRAAGGCACTGCGTGTGTCTTCTGATGTCAGGGACGGCTGCTCAGCCCTGCTTGGAGTCTCCTTAGTCAAAACTGTGTCTGAGAACACGACTCTCCCTGGGAGCAGCCACAGTGCTGGTGGACCTGGTGATTTTCACTTTACAGAAGGACTTCCGGGGCCCTCTGTGACCTCTGTGAAGTAGGCAATCCAATCTGAGAAATAAAGCCTTTAAAAATACACACCCCACCCCTTGGGCTGGGGCTGTAGCTCAGTGGTAGAGCACTTGCCTCACATGTGGGAGGCACTGGGTTGTATCCTCAGCCCCACATAAAAATAAACTAATTAACAAAGATATTGTATCCATCTACAACTAAAAAAAATATTCCCCCTGGAAAAAAGTCGACAGGAGAGATCAAACCTAAAGTGCTTTTGCAGCCAGCTTTAACCCACAAGTGTCCCCTCTCCATGCACGAGGACTAGAGGAACTGTCCTCATTACCCTCTGGCCCAGCATCCAAGGGCAGGCAGCCCCAGGTGGTGACCGAGCACGTCTCCCTTTCCCAGATGTGGTGCTGAGGCTGACCGACGGCGGCCACCCATGCGAGGGCCGGGTGGAGCTGCACTACAACGGCAGCTGGGGCACCGTGTGTGACGACAGCTGGGACCTGCTTGACGTCCAGGTGGTGTGCAAGCAGCTGGGCTGTGGCGAGGCCCTTGCAGCCCCTGGGCGGGCACATTTCAAGCGAGGTGTGGGCCCCATCGCCCTGGATGATGTGGAGTGCGTGGGGACAGAAGCCAGGCTGTGGCAGTGCCTGCACAGTGGCTGGTTCACCCACAACTGTGGCCACCATGAGGACGCTGGTGCCATCTGCTCAGGTGGGTTTTGGACTTGTGTGCATGGGTGGAGAGAGTGGCATTCCTGCTCCAGCCTTGTGCCCACCACTTACAGAGCAGCCAGGAATCCTGGACTGTCCCCGGGCCACTGTTCCCTGTGGCAGCCACTTGGATCTCCAGTGTACCCACTTGCCACCCACACTGTAGTTTTTAAAACCCTTTCCGTCTTGTATACAGAAACTTCATATCACCACCGTAAATTGAAGAGCTAAGATCTTTCCTGGCAGCCAGCAACCCAGGTCCTAATCCAGGGCTCTGATTCCTTTTCCAACCATTCAAATTTCTGCAGATTAATCCAGCAGCTGGAGTCAAAAGTCCCCACCCATCTCTTCATCCTTCTGGGTTTGGCTGGGGAAAGGCAAACTGGCCAATCAGCTACAGAGGGTAGGAGGAAGGGGGTGGTGTGCTGGACGGTGCTGTGGGGAGAGGAGAGAAGCCAAGGGATAGAGCAGAAGCTGAAGCCACACGCTGAGTGGGACATCAGAGGACAGGGCTGGGGGCTTGAAGAGCCGGGAGGTTTGGAGCCAGGCTTTTAGCTGCCTGGGGTGAGTCAGAGGTGCCTGAAGGAGCATCTTTCTCCTCCGCCCATACCCTGGAGCTCCTGGCCAGCTCCATGGTCCACACAGCCTTTCCTGTCCCTCCCTGCACTGAGGGTGCCCGTGTGCGTCCTGGAGACAAATGTGACGCCACTCTTTACAGCTGACATTCACTCTGGGAGGCAAGACAGCCCCCCTGCTCACACACACAGGAAGAATTACAACACCAAAGCAGCTGGAGAGGTGCTCCACACATGGTGACCATGGCTGTGGCCAGCTTGCCAAAAGAAAGAAAAGAAAATGACAGTGCAGGGTCCAGCCGAGGGGCAGAAGTGAACCCAGAGATCCAGGACACCTGGGGTTTCAGGAGGGTGACGGAGGATGACCGACCTGCGCTTCCTATGTCTTTCGTAGCCTCTCGGCCTAGCCCAACACCAGCAGCTGCTGTGCGCTACACAACTTCAGGTAATTTCAGTTGTTTTTAATGAATTGGCTGCCACTTGCCTTAGTATATCGCCCTGGGTAGAATGGTAGTGGTTTAGGGGCCAAACGCCCTATCTTCATCATCAGCCAGCTGTGAGCCTCTAGCCAATCTCCAAACTGCTTCCTGCCTCCGTTTCCTCCCCTGGATGAGGTTCAGAAGGACGGTAGCATTTGTCCGTGGGCTCTGCTGGAATTCACTGGCTTTCTCAGCACAGTGGTGAGGATAGTGCTGGCCAAGAGGCAGGGCCAACATAAGTCATCAGCCATGGTCTGCTCAGCTCTTCCAAGGCCAGGGCACTGCAAGGATTCATCTTTGTACATTTCCTCTGCTTGAGAGAAGTGTTAATAATGAAGAAGCTGAAAGCGTCACTTTTTAGTTTGCTCCTGGCTGTTTACATTTCAACTTTATTCAGCTGTTCTTCCCAGGCTGATCTTTAAGTGCAAAGTCCAATATCGGGAAGAGCTGGGAAAAAGAAATGACCCCAAACCTTCAGAGGAAGCTCTGGGGAGGTTATTTCTGGACACACACACCTGCTGGAGTACTGTCTGCAGAGAAAGGCCCAGCTRGGGAGTCTCATTTAGAATCAGAAACTGCCCACAGATAATGCAGAAGGTGGAGAGCCCACTGGCAGCGGACTAAGTTAAATGTTTGACATTGGACTTTTGCTTTCTATCTGTCTTTTAGCATCTTTTCCAAAGCCAACAGAGGTGCCCATATCAACAGGTAACCAATCCTTTCTCCTCTCTTCAGTTGCTTTCCCTTCATAGAGTTTCAGCTCAGAAAGACTCCAGCAGTACTGTGGGAAGAAGGATCCCAGGTGGACACACTGTCCACTTCCAACTTCCTCCCTGGCCTCAGGCTGGGCCTATAAATGGCAGCTGCTGGAGGGTGGGCTGATCATGTCTGGGTTCACCTAGAAAATCTGTGATTAGAAGGGAGAGGGAGGAAACAGATGTGAGATGCAACACCGGCTTGTGAGATGGTCTGGAAGTTGCCAACTAGAAAGGCTCAGAGCATCTTGCTGACCCCAAATCTCCTCCCAGCCCCCACCCATGAACTCACCTTGGCTGTGTTCTGAACACACCCAGTTTTTTAATCCCTTTCGTAACACTGCCTTTTGAAAATGAGTGGCATCTGCAGTGGCTGCCCTTCACATTCCCTGGACTGACTTTACACATTGGTCACACTTGATCCTGGGGACAACATAGATGACAGCTATTGTCATTGTCACTTGGTCAACGTGTGCAAGGGTGCACATGCATACGTGCACACACACACACACACACACACACATACAACTTAGTGTGTGCCTGGTTACTTCTTGTGAAAAATCCAACAAACTCTTTGTCGGGAACCACAGCTCCACAACCCACAGTGAAAGGAGGGCTACAGAGGGGGGCAGCTCACGGTCCAGTTGGCCAGGGAGCAGCATGGAAGGCCCACGGTGTGGTCCCCAAGACAAAAGTAAAGGAGATGAAGGGGAGAAGGGATTCGTTATCCTTTGCTGTCAGCGTACACCCCAGGAAATGGCCCTTCTGGATGGGCCCCTATGAAGGGTGTTCTTTGGATTGTCCACCTAGGTCTGGGCCTACGGCTGGCAGATGGGTCAAGCAGGTGCGAGGGCCGCGTCGAGGTCTTCCACGGCAACACCTGGGGCACTGTGTGTGATGACAGCTGGTCCATCGAGGATGCCCATGTGGTCTGCAGACAACTTGGCTGTGGCCTGGCTTTATCTGCCCTCCCAGGGGCCAGCTTCAGCCCTGGGTCAGGCGGCATCCTCCTTGATGATGTCCACTGCACAGGAAGTGAGGCCTCCCTGGAACAGTGCCCCCACGGCAGCTGGTTCACCCACAACTGTGGGCACCATGAAGATGCTGGCGTCATCTGCTCAGGTGAGTGGTGGCTCAGAGTACCTTGCTGACCCCAAGTCTCCTCCCAGTGACGCCTCTTGGCCAGTGTCACAGATGCCCAGGCCAGGTAGAATATGCAAACGGCTTCATGCCTTCAGCCTACCCCATGTCCTTGACAGGGAATTTCTGTTCCAACTCTGAAAAATATATCAGCTGTTTAGCATATGGGGTGGCCTGGTCCACTTGAGCGTCTATGAAGGTGACTCGGTTGTAAAATAAAGACAACAATAGTACTCACGTCAGAGATTTGCTGGAAGGATTAAATGAGACAATCCACATAGAACATTTACTTGAGCATCTGACAAACCACTGATACACAAAAGTATTGCTACGTTGCAGATGCATCATTTTAGTTACTGAGGGAAATTCTATCAGAATCACTGCTGCAGAGATTTTAGCCAGGTGAGAACCCACACCAGAGAGGACAGCCCTGATGCTCAAGGATTGGTTACACTCCGCTTCCTCCAGTCATGTTTAAACAGGGAAAATGACCTTCAAACCTCCGCACCATCTGGTTTCTAATGTCACACCGCCCGGTGTCTCCTTTATCTCTGCAGGTTCTGCAGCTGCTGAGCATCCAGGTATCTGTGAGTTGGTGTCTGTTATTTACTGACTGGTGACTCTTGTCTAATGCAGGGTCCTACAATGGGTTTCCCTTTGAAGCTTTAAGGGGCCTTGACAGTGCCCTGAGCACAGACCCTTCTGTAAGGACCGAGGGTTGTTTCCCATTCTCCTGGGACCCTGCTCTGTACCTAGAGGAAAAGGTGTTCTGGATCTTAACAGTCCAGTGTGTTGTCTGTTCTGCATTTGAGAGCTGCTTTTAACCCAAAAGCTCTTGACCTAAAATGGTAGTTCATGCAAAGGCCTTGGCAGACCAGGGAAGTCTGGAGGGCCTGGGGATGGGGGTGGGGGGGCCTGGGAATAGGGAGGTTTGGGGAAGGAGAGCCTAAGGACAGGAGCTCTTTCTCCACCTGCAGCGCTACCTGGGACCTGAGATGCAGCGGCTGAACTCTGGTTCTGCTGAGGCAGCTCTGGATATGGGGTCGTAGCTTCAAAATCCCAACATGAGTTTTAGTTTTTCTTTTTTTTTAATATTTACTTTTTAGTTTTAGTGGACACAATATCTTTATTTTACATTTATGTAGTGCTGAGGATGGAACCCATCCTCATGCATGCCAGGAGAGCACTCTACCACTGAGTCACAACCCCAGCCCCATAGTTTTTATTTTCTCAATAAAAATAATGTGCATATTCATTCATGAGCTGCCATTACATTTTAAATAGTAACTATGTGATCAGAGACTCAATGGGGTTCTTTAAAGGTAAAATGCCTATGACTTAGATGGTATTTGAAATGAATATGAAATTTCATTGTTTTTTTCTTAAATGTGCTTACGGAGGCTACTTTTCTTTTGTACCTGTTCAGTTTCTTCAGCTCCTCAGGATCATCCACACATTTTCCATCAAATAGGTACTGTTTCTATTCTTGCATTCCCCAAATAAGTACTTTACAGCTCTCTAAATTCAAGTAAAGTAAAACTAAATTTGCTCTAATAATCTCATCATGTTTGGGGAAACCTGGCTTAGAAATGCAAAACCTGAGCTCCAAGCATGCAGCTGCCTTGTTTGGAATTTTTAGAAACATAACACGATAAACAAGGGTGAAAGCAGAATGTCTTCCACAAAGCCGGGGCAGAGCCACTGTGGAGTCTGCTAAATTGTAGGTAGACAGCAGGCATCTCTGCTCCTCTGTTTTCTAAGGCTCCACATTAGCACATTCCCCACCTGCATGATAGATGCTCTTCCCCAGCAGGCTGCACCCCAGGGCCGGAGTCTCCAGCCAGATGTGCTGTCCTGTGGAGCACTGCAGGAGGCTCCTCATGCCCACTTGCTCTTGCTCCTGCAGATCTGCCAGGGGTGAGGCTGGCCGACGGGAAGCACCCATGCGAGGGCCGCGTGGAGATCTACCACAACGGCACCTGGGGGACCGTGTGCGATGACCTCTGGAGCCTGCCCGCTGCCCAGGTGGTGTGCCAGCAGTTGGGCTGTGGGGCAGCCCTGGCAGCTCCCAGGAGCAGTCTGTTTGGCGACGGTGCCGGCCCCATCTTCCTAGACGACGTGAGGTGTACAGGCAACGAGACCAACCTGGGACAGTGCCACCACCTCGGACTGTCTGTGCATAACTGTGGGCACCATGAGGACGCCGGGGCTGTCTGCTCAGGTACCTGAACTCTGCTGAGCCCGGCTTCCCTCCCAAGCAGGACAGCCATCTCTGACAGGCAGATACCTGAGTGGCCTGGGGTCCCAGGTGGGTCAAGAACTTGCCCTGCTTTGCTGGAATTGTCCTGGCTTTAGCACTGAGAAGTCACATGGCCTCTTTGAACTCCAACAAGCCAGGACCTTGGTCACTCTAATGTCAGGAGAGTAGTATCCCCTGCCACGCACCACAGCCAGTCCCCCTGGCCCTGAGAAGAAATCCCATGAGCCAAAACATACACAGAAACAGAAGTCGAGCCTCACCCTGGAGTGATTCTTAACTTCTGGGAATGGTTCTCCCAGGTGTGTCCAACTTGTGGGTTTCTCTGGAAGATATTTCTCAGAGAGAGAGCTGTGCTCTCTGAATACGCTCCTGATTGATTGCTGATTGCCTAAGTTGGGACTTACTTGCCATGAGGGGTCATTTTAGGCAACTTTTCAAAACAGCTGAATGAACATGCTAAATCCCTGTTTTGTTACTTTTTATTACTAATTAATTGCATGCAACAAATATCTGTGACTCCCTACTCCATTGTGGGGTCTCACCATAGCCCAGCACCACCCCAGTCTCCTCAGGACCGGGCAGAGATGAGGTCCCCAGATGGGCTGAAGATGAAGCAGAGGAGAGGGCATTTCTACTCCCCTCTGTTGGCTGGGTATTTTAATCTGAAGACTTAGTGTTTCATGGGGTCTAGGGATAAGTGCTCTGAGTTAAAACGGCATCAGATGTCCACCATCCTGTTMTCTAGCCTCACATCTCCAGAGCCACTGTACGTGACCTCCCTGGTTCAGAGAGATGCTTCCAGTGAAACAGGTTCCCACCCAGGCCAGCCGAGATGGTTCACAGCCGCTGTCCCGATGAGCCAGACCTCTGGACACTGGCCTCCCCTCAGCACTGCTGCATTTGCTGGGAAGCTCTGACCGCACCCCACACACACACACACACTGGCACCCATGGGACTCACGTGCCCGCTTGGCTGGTGGCGTTTTGTCAGTCTTCACCTCCCTGATGTGAATGCCTCTTCTCTTTCAGCTGCTGAAGTGGCCCCAGCTCTGGCAAGCCCGACTCCTGCAGTTGGTAATCCTCTCATTGTTTCTCCCGCAACTTCCTGGTTATTGGGGTCCTTGGGGTCTAGGGGTCCCTGGGGTCACAGCCAGTGATGTCAGTGCCCTCCTGGATCCATGCCTCCCTGGGACTGGGAAAATAYAGACCTGAAACAGAGGCACAGGCTACAAGCAGAGCCTCAGTGCATCTGCTCTCTGGTTCTACTGAGATGTTTTTAGCTTTGAACCTGAGCCAATGGGAAAGTTTGACTTAAAGAAAACCAGAAGTTGGGTGTGAGATCTATCCATGTCAATGTCAATGATAATGAGTTTGTCTATCAATCTGATGGCTTGATTCCAAAAATGATTTTTTTTTCTTGCAGTGGAGGGATACCTGGGATTGAACTCAGGGGCACTCAACCTCTGAGCCACATCCCTAACCCTATTTCATATTTTATTTAGAGACAGGGTCTCATTAGGTTGCTTAACACATACTTCTGCTGAGGCTGACTTTGAACTTGCCATCCTCCTGTCTCAGCCTCCCCAGCCACTGGGATTACAGACATGTACCACTGTCTCCAGCTCCAAAATAGATATTTATTTTTATCCTTTTGTACCTTTTTACCCAACCCAAAGGTGAGAATGATAGAGTAAAATAGTGGAAATCAGAAATAGCCCAGGAAAGCAGGCACTGCATTTGTAAGCACTACTCTTAGTCCTATGAGACCTAGAAGCAAGAAGCCAGGGCTTTGAAGGCTCTAGAATCCAGGGTATATGGTTTAGAACTAAGGAAAAGTCCTAGTAGAAGTCCCAGTAATAACCTCTGAGTCTTCCCCAGACCTGTCCATCATCAGGTTGGTGGGTGGGAGGAGCCGGTGTGAAGGCCGTGTTGAAGTCCACCACAATGGCACCTGGGGCACCGTGTGTGATGACCTGTGGAGCATCGACGCCGCCCACGTGGTGTGCCGGCAGCTGGGCTGCGGGGAGGGCATCAGCGCCCTGGGGAGCGGCTACTTCGGGAAGGGTGTGGGGAGCATCCTCCTGGACSACGTGCAGTGCCGGGGCACGGAGACCTCACTAGGCCGATGCCAGCACCTGGGCTTGTCCGTCCACAACTGTGGCCATCACGAGGACGCCGGCGTCATCTGCTCAGGTACTCACTCTCCACTGTCTCCTGAAACCGGCAGAGCTGTGACTCTTGGCCAGGGATCTGGGAACTGACATGGGAATGTTTGGGTCCCCTTGGGAAGCTCCAAACACAATCGGAGGTCCATTCTCAGCACTGGGCAGCCGATAAATAATGGGGCATCGTTTAACCTGGATCATCCCAAGTCCCTCAGTCCCACAGCCCACCTGGCCTTGGTTCCGGGTGGCCTCTCTGTCGTTTATAACCTTCCTTCTAAGCTGCTTCAGCGTAGAGCCCTCCGTCTCTGCAGTCTTCAGGGACCCCCAGACTCCCTGTCATCCACCATGGGGTCAGGCACTTCCTAATCTTTGTCCTCAAATTGTCTGTTTTGAGCTTTGAAGATGACACTGTGGCACTGCTGATGAGAATTCCATGACCCCAACCCGAGTTCTCGACAGTATTTCAACACTTCAACACTATTTCCTTCTCCCTCTGTGGTTGGAGTGGTCCCCTCTTGTTTGTTTGTTCTGCTTTGTTTAATTCAGCAGTTTGTGCATTATTTTTTTTCTTCTTTCTCTTGCCAAAAACCGTATAATAGAAAAGGAAATCAGATGAAATGAAAATACCTACTGCCCAGCTTATCTTAATTCTATAGCCCACAGGTTAGAATAATAATTTGAGTATCAACTAAGAAACTTTTCTTGGTTTCACACTTCAGAAGTTGTTTTGTACCTAACTTAATGTATCTGAGGTATCAAATTTTTAAACAAAAATGTATCTTCTAAGTTCCTGATTGTTTTGCCATTTCAGCATCAGCCACAGAATTGACCGCTTCACCGGGTAATTTTATTTTCTCTCTTGCTTTCTATACATCAGAGTGGTAGATTGTCTTACATATGATGAGCGTTGCAGTTTTTATCTCCTATGAAACTAAATATCAAGCTCTTATCAAGCTAATGTAAGCTGCTTACATATTCATTAACCAGAACAATAAAAGGAACAGATTGGGTGCCTTTTGTACCTAAGGTACAGGATTCCTGTTTCTTCCCTCATTGGTGCCGCAGCTGGCCTCTGAGATCTAGTGACCCTGCTTCACTCCTATGTTGATTAGTGTCAGCACATGGGGTATTCAGTGATTTTTTTGTGTATTCTTTTAACTCACAGGACTTCAGACATCTCAGGCAAAACCTGAATCCATATTTTCAGAAAATAATGGAGCAACTCGTCTCCTGAGCATGTTTCAGAGTACAGTCCCTTCATCTGGTGTTATGCAAATTTCTGAGAATGATTTGCATAGCTACATAATTTGGGGAAATACCATATCTTCTCTTGATGATTCAGTCTATTAGCACTTTCAAGTCTCTGATGAGTCCTGCAGGGAGAGATCTCTTCTTAACTTGGTGTAACCCAGTGTTTCCAAACTTCTCATCACTTTCAGGTGGTGATACAGCGTGGCCCTATTTGGCACCAGAGCATCACCTTGGGTTCTCTGGCTCCAGTGTTAACCAGTTGGGTAATGGTGGGCAAGTCCCCAGACCTCTTAGGCTTCTGTTTCTTTACCTGTAGAACAGAAGGATGGACACAATCCTGAAAGCCTTATCCTGGGGACTCAGTGGTCTTCACAGGTGTAGGGCACCATGGTGGGAGCTTCCAGTCACCCTCCTAGGGAGGTGCATGCTGCTGCAGGCCAAGACTTGGCTTGGCTCTCCAAAGCAAGCGACCTAAGTGTCCTTTTGTAAAAGTCCTTCTTCTACACACCAGGGATTGTCCTAGGGCTTGAGATGGTCATTGTGCAGCTTTATAAGTTGGAGAAATACCACCTCAACACAAAGCAGCTCAACTCACATTTTCTTTGAACTGTAAACAGTTATGAGAGTGGCCCATAGTCTGCATTTCCAAAATCTCAAAAGCCTTTTGCCAGGCTTGGTAGACTAACCTCTAAGGGAAATTATGATGAAACACAATTCCCTTTTGTGGCTACAGCTATGAGAATTGCCCACAAAGTCTTTTAGGCAAGGACAAGTTAGATATGGGACCATCACAATGTAACAATTCCTGAGAGTTGGAAGAACCCTTAGAGATCACTCAGATCAGAAGTCACAAATGGGCAGCCCTGGACAAGTTTTGACCCACAAATGAATTTAGATTCAGACAACCCAGCATTGCCAATGCATGTTTAAATTATTTTTAATCCCACATTTTGAAAACAAAAGTTGTTGGTGGTGGTAATGGTGTTGTGTTGTTGTTGTTGTTGTTGTTGTTTTAAGAATCTATATTTCAGGCTTTATTCCTTTTCTTTTTTCTTTTTGTGATGTTAGGGATTGAACCCAGGATCTCATGCATGCCGGGCAAGTGCCCTATCACTGAGCTGCATTTCCAGCCCAAGATTTCCAGCTTTAATTGGAAAATCTGAGAGTGAGAACTAGTATTACACACCTCATGAGCAATAATTGCCTGGGGCTAAGTAGGGCAGGGTGGCCTCTTCACATGGCACCTGACCTCTCATATTCTCCTGGCCTGCAGCATCTCCATTTGCAAGCTCAGTGCTTCTTAGAGTTGAATATGCACATAACTCACTTGGGAATTTTCTCAAAATGCAGATTTGGATTCAATGCATCCCAAGAGTCTGCATTTCTAACAACAGGATACTGATGCTATTAGTCCTTGGATTGGTCCTTCAGATGCTGCAGGACCTGAAGTTTAGAGATGCAAAAGGACTTGTACAAGGTCAATTGCTCCATTACACAACACTAGAGACCACAACCAGTCACTCAGGTCCTAGACTCATACACCACCACCCTGGTTGTTTGTTTCCTTTATCTTGATTACACAGGCTAGGAGAATCAAATAGGAACAAAGCATAATCAACTGTGCTGAGACACATTTATAAATAGGGGTAATTTTTGTGAAAATTTTTTACCAATGAACTTGATCAACAAAGATGTTATTTAAATACAATTTATCTTTTGCTTGTTTTGACAGTTCCTACTTCAACTTCAGCCACAGATTTCATCCTCACGACCGGTAACAAGTTTCCTGTGGCTAGTCCCCCTTCTGCCTATCTCAGGGATAGTTATTTGTTGAAATTCTACCAAGATAGTACAATTATCCCTCTATTTGCTGGGGAGTCACTTGGCTAAATTAATCCCTTAGAAAATAGTCTAGAATCCAGAAGCAGACAAAGAGGGCCTCTAGGCAGCCACATTGAGATCCCGACATTCAATCCTAAATAAAGTACTTGGGTGCTCATGGAGGGATGTGTATGTGCATGAGCTGCTCTCTCAGAGCCAGCCATCCTCCTTTCTACACACTCCAGTAGCTGGCTACCAGGCCTCCCTATTGGCTGCATGTTAGGAAAGAAAAATGTTTGGAGGTAGAGTACACAGGGTGGGAGGGGTAACCCTCATAGAAGAGCCACATTGACAATCCAGGAAATGCTAGCAGGTGCTCCCACAGCTACAGAAATGCTCAGAAAAGCCATTTAATGTCACCAGACTTTCTAACTACAACAATATGGAACCAAAACGTCATTTACTTACCTTGATGTCCCTTTGAGATGCTTCTGTGTTCCATCCCTAAACAACAATGGCATTCTTCCCAAGGACTCTGAATCAGGCAGATGGGAACACCATCAGTGTCTTTTGTTCAAAAGGACTAAGATCTTATAAAGGGAATCAAATAATCTGTATGTTCTTGTGCCTGACACAAATATACACTTGCCATATCAGAATTTATTTATACCATCATCGTGCATGTGTTTTAACTTGGATACTTCAATTCTTATTTGGGAAGACAGGAAATAATTAGTCCCCGTTTTTCCAAGAATGAAGATTAGTACCTGAGACCCCAGTAAAGGCAGACTTGGGCCTTTCTGCAAAACTTCCTGATGGAATGACGCCCATCTCCATGTTTCCCATCTAGGCACGACTGTCACTCCAGAGGAAGAGACTCCTTCGCCTGGTAATGCCTCTACCCCTGCACTGCACACGTCGGCAGCACGAGGGTCTGCCACTCCAGGCCTGGGAGTGGGCTAGTGTCAGGTTGTCACTGTCTTTGAGCACCTCATCTAAGACAGACCTGTGCCAGGCAGAAGGGCATGGGAGGGGAGCTCCCTGGCCAGGTCAGCTCACCTGTTAGAGGTTCTCRGGCCATCTGTGTTTCTCATTTCATGGCAAAAGTCATCCATTGGCTTGTGTGTCTTTTCCTCCTCTCTGTCTATCCATGAGTTGGTCCCCTTTTTGAGGGCAGCAACTATATGTAGTTTTATTGACTCTTTTGCTCCAGAACCAGCCCAGTGCCTGGCACCGGGGAATGGGCAATCAAGAAGTGTGAATCAATTAAATGAAAGTTAGGTGTTTTAGTCAGCTTTTTTGCTGCTGTGACTAAAGGATCTGACCAGCACAATTATAGAGCAGGAAACGTTTATTTGAGGGCTCAGAGTCCACAGAAGGCCAGCTCCATTCCTTGGGCCTCGAGGTGATGCTGAACATCATGGAGGCAGAGGGCAGCAGAGGGAAGCAGCTCACATCACGGTGATCAGAAAGCAGAGAGACGACTCTACAGATACAAAATATATACCCCAAAGCCACGCCCCAATTCCCACCTCCAGCCACACCCCACACTTCAGTTACCTCTCAATTCATCCCACCAGGGATTAATTCACTGATTGGGTTAAGACTCTCACAGCCCTATCGATTCTCCTCTGAACCTTCTTGCATTGTCTCACATGTGAGCTTTGGGGGACACCTCACATCCAAGCCATAATATCAGCTTTCTGTGCTCTAGGGACAAAGAGAAGAAAACAAGTTAACTATAAAGCAGTGTTTTCTTGCCCTTTGGTAGATTTTAACCAATTATTATTTCTTATTTCCAGGATCTTTGGATATTGCTATAACCACTCCAACAGGTAATTTAAATGTTATTTTGGATTTCATCTTATTTGCTGCAATTTTTTTTTAATTTCCAGCGAATTCATTAAATAACCATTTATGTCTTGACCAAATTCTTGGATTCTTTAGTAATCTTTT